AAAAAAAAAATTTCCACACAATGTAATCTCACACAGTGACTAAACAACAGTTATAGCACAAAAATAATTACCAACTTGCAGTCAAAATTCAACACTTCAAATAAAGCAATTAATTCCTAAATTTTTAGCACAAGCAATGGTTACCCCTTCACGGTAACCCCAATCATAATGTCACCCCACACGATGATGCGCTAATACTGAAATTTAAACAGGACAAGCCAATTTACTAGAGCGGACTTATCTGAGTCCGTAAATTTCGAGGAATATAATTTTAACACTTTAGGGCCACCACTATTCGCCCTAAAGTTTGCAGCAACCAATTGAATGCAAAACTGGATCTAGAATGCGCATGGGCAAAATTGTCCAACTTTTCCTGCGTAACCTGAAACACGAAAACAAAAATATCAATACGTTCAGGAAATTAAACTTAATAAACTGCCTGAAGGAAGTTTCGCCAGGGGGAGCTCCATACTCCGCCAATCCTCTCTGCGCGTGGGCTTCACGCGTCGCCACACGCGCCGGTCAGGGGGCTGCTCCTCCACCTACTGAGTCCACTAGTGGTCTTGGTTTCTTCAGATGGCCACTGGTTCGCCCAGAAAACAAGTTTGCGGGTCTGATTTTCACACAAGATTCTGGACATTTTTTCTGTTTCAGTTTCTGCTCGATTTTCTGGTATTTTTTATCAGATTTTTTCACCCAAACATACACCAAAGCTTTGATACCAAATGTTGGTATTTTGGGACTCCAATCAACCAAAACCGAGCTCAGATAAACCACCAATCGACACCACAATGAACCAAACTAATGCTCCAAAGCACAACCACCCAATCAACCGGTTGGTCCAATGGTTTCAGCCCACCTAGGTCTATGGTGTGAAGATGAAGAACAACTATCTTTAGCCACCAAGACAAAAGGGAGAAGGAGAGAGGAAGAACCACCAAGAAGCACAAAGCACAAGTACGAGGAAATCGGTTTTCTCTCTTTTTCTCAAGACAAGGTTGCTCTCTTTTCTTCCACACTAGAGAAACAAGAACCGAGTCAATATTAATAAGGCAAGGGATTGGGCTTTTAGGTCAAACACAAAGGGGCCCAATAGATAACTAAGTGGGCTTTCAACCTTAAAGCCGTCCAAGGTTATGGGCAGGGCCATGAGCAACACTAATGGAATTAGGCTACTTCAAATGGCCCACTTAGTTTGTCGGAATAGTTCGTTCATTGTGGTGTCGACATTTCACTTCAATCATCTACCGAGACCTATGAAGTCTAATCCAAACTACAAACCGATTTAACATCATCGCTCGGATTTATTGGGTATCAAAACCCAACAAGTAGTGTGTACACAAGTTAGTCTTCTGACTATTTGGTTAGTCTTCCGGCTATTTGGACTCCTTTTTGTGAAAAAGACAAAGAAAAAGGAAATAAAGAGCTTAGATTCATTTTTTTATTAAACTTCTTTGATTTTTTTTTTTTTTTTTAATACCCAGGTGTCCACCTTCGGCGATTAATCCTGGGATCTACGCCTTGGCCCCTTAAGACGCAGACCAGGTAAACCGCGGGATGTACCCCAAACTGGTCAGGGTCCAAGAGCCCCCAAACTTCTTTGATTGCTTCTTTAATGATCCTCAGAATGCCATATGTCTAAATTGGTCGAGTTCCATTCCAGTTTGCAGCTGGATTGGAATCACTTGCAGTTCCCGGCATCCAAGAGTGACATCTTTGGACATTTCTAATATGAATCTTCAGGAACCATTCCTTTACACTTGGGAAATCTATCTTTTCTTTTCTCCCTTCACACAAGTAACAGCAGCTTTTCTGGCACTTTGCCCTAAGAGTTGGCTCAATCGCACAGATTGAAATCCATCGATTTTAGAAGCAACAATTTTAGTGGGGCGTTGCCATCATTTTTGAGCTCATTGTCTAATCTTCATTTCCTGTATCTTTTGCGTAACAATTTTTCAGGACCCATCCCGTCTTCTATTGCTAATATTAAGAAACTACAAGAATTATCTTTGAGTAGGAATTTATTAGATGGAAATTTTCCTCTAGAAATTGGCAATCTTGGTCATCTCACTTTTCTAAACCTGGACGTGAATCAGCTCTCAGGCCCTATACCTTTGTTTATCTTAAACCTCTCGTCTTTACAATATATTGCTTTAACGCGTAATGATCTTATTGGTAGACTTCCACTGAGTATATGTGACAACCTTCCAATGCTGGAAGGACTCTTTCTTTCTAACAACTGGCTAGATGGCTTAATTCCCTCTAGTTTACAGAAATGTTCACGGCTGCAAGTTTTGTTGTTGTCGGGGAATGAATTTGTAGGAAACATACCGAAAGAAATTGGAAACTTGACTGTGCTTGAAATATTACATCTAGTGGCAAACCACTTGCGATGTATGTCACCAACCCCCTAAACTAACTCAAGTTTCTTTGATGGATAACTGTTATTTTCTGTTCCGGCCTACGCATATCTTCATATAATTCTCACCAATTTTACAAAATAAAAGCCTCTGTCATATTTGAATGAACTTTCTGTTCCTAAATGAATTTTATTCTCTCCTTGTAAGGCAAAATACCAGAGAGATTGGTTGTCTGTAGAAATTGGAGATGTTTGGATTAAATTGGAACAACTTAAGCGGTTCCATACCAAAAAGTATCTTCAACATTTCAGCATTGCAGGTCTTTACACTTGTAGGAAATGATCTCTCAGGTAATCTTCCATCGAGTTTCGGTGAACGGATGCCAAATGTTCAAGAAATATATTTCGGCATGAATAATTTCAGCGGGCGTCTTCCTCATTCAATTTCAAACGCTTCAAAACTCACCATCCTAGACCTTTCAAACAGGGACGTAGCCAGGATTTCAATCTTGCGTGAGCGAAAATACGGGGGGTGGAGGATTGAAAACGACGATTTTTAGTACCAAAATAGACAAGTTAGATTGACTGACCAAAAAGACAATCAGTTTGTCGATACAAAAATAATATGTCCATCTATGTGTCTAACTCTATAAAAATTGAAAACATGAACGTTAGATGGACATAAAAAAGACAAAAAGTAAACTGCATATCTATATAACAAATGGTAGAGATGGCTTGGACGTCTGAAATTGATCACTCATTGTCCTCATCACTTCAAACTCGTCAATAAGAGAATCTAATTAAAAAGTATCAACAATATAATTCANAATCTAATGAAAAAGTATTCTTAAATTCAAATATGCAATCACTTACACAATTACACAAACTAACAGCAGGCCTATTTAATCACTATTTAATTCAAATCAACTCAAACTAACACAAAAATTAACTAAAATAGTCAAACCAACACAAAAAATTAACTCAAATCAACTCAAACTAACACAAAAGAGATTGGGCGTTGGGCGTTGATCGTTGGCAGAGCCGCAGAGATGGAGTTGCAGCACAGTTGCCTGTCGTGCAGAGAAGAGATTTGAGAAAGAATGAGGGGTGTTTGTAGTCGGGATTACATTTTGTGGACTGTGGCCTGTGTGTATGCTTTTGGGTAATTGATTCATAAATTGGTCCTTTGCTTTTGGATTGAATTTGGGCTATTTATTTATTTAAGTAACTATTAGATCTTTTGTTTAGGTATAAGATTTTTGTATGGTTGAATTTTAAAGTGTAAATTATTGGGTCAATATTTATTAATGGAAAAAAAATAAAAAATTTCAAAATTTTGCGGGGGCGAGTCAAAATTTTTGCAGGGACAAAAACTGAAAAATACATTACAAATTAACTAGGCAACTTAGAATTCCTTGAACTTCTTAGCTTGGGAGACAATTTATTCACAACTCAATCACCATACTCAGAATTGACTTTCCTTACTTCTTTGACACTGTGTCGTAGTTTGAACAAATTGGTGATTGGTGAGAACCGTCTGAGTGGAAAACTCCCAGCTTCTATTGGCAATTTCTCCACCTCTCTTGAAATATTTGCTGCATGTAGGTGTAGAATCCAAGGAAAAATTCCTGAAGAGATTGGTAAATTAAGTAGTCTTGCAATGTTAAGTCTATTTGACAATGAGTTGACAGGAGTCATTCCAACCAGTGTCAAAGGTTTGCAGTCTTCAGCAATTGTATCTACGCAACAACAAGATAATAGGATCTATTGTAGATGAAATCTGCAGATTGAAGAACCTTTGTGCATTGGATTTTAGACAAAATCAAATCTCTGGTTCCTTGCCAGCATGTCTAGGAAATATTACTTCCCTAAGAAATCTTTACGTTGCTCACAACAGATTAAATTCTATTATACCCACCAGTCTGTGGGGCCTTAATGATCTATTGAAGTTCAATGCATCCTCAAATATGTTAGTTGGCCATTTACCTGCTGAGATTGGGAGTTTGAAGACAGTGACTCTCATAGACCTGTCAACGAATAACTTATCAGGCAGTATTCCCAACACCATTGGAGGACTACCGAAGTTGATGAATCTTTATCTGGCACATAATAGATTTGGAGGGGCCTATTCCATATTCATTTAGCCAAGTTCTGAGCTTGGAAAACATAGATATTTCATATAACAATTTAAGTGGTGCAATTCCCAAATCATTGGAAGCTCTCTTATATATCAGGTATTTCAATGTTTCTTTTATTGAACTAAGTGGCGAAGTTCCAAATGGTGGCCCTTTTCTAAACTTCACAGACCATTCTTTAACGTCTAATGGAGCACTTTGTGGAGCTTCTCGGTTTCAAGTGCCACAATGTCCACCCGATAGATCAAGGAGAAGAGGGCGGCGTTCGAGCATTGTGCTGTATATAATTTTTGGGATTTCATCGCCAATACTTGTATTGACCAGATTGGTTGTTCTATTAAGATGTCGAAATAGAAGGAACGACGAAAATCAAACAATTTCACTTGCCTTAACACATGCAAGAATTTCATACAATGAACTTCTACAAGCTACTAATGGATTCAGTGAAAGCAATTTTCTTGGCACGGAGTTTCAGTCCAATTCACAAATGGCTACTAAGAAATGAGACTCCTTTGGCAGTGAAGGCATTCAATTTGCAATTAGATGGCGCATTTAGGAGTTTTGACACAGAATGTGAAGTATTACTCAATATTCGCCACAGAAACCTAACCAAAATCATCAGCACTTGCATCAATCTTGATTTCAGAGCCTTGTTAATGGAATTTATGCCTAATGGCAAGTTCAGCCATTCATGTCCCTCCAATGGACTTATCTGTTGTACGAAAGCGATCTTCCATAGCCTTGAGATATTCCTTTGCATTATCATTTTGAGGAAGCGTTGACTTAATATTATTTGCCATACACATTCGCATAAACATAATGCCTAACCTATTCAATCTTTCCCATAACTTAAACAAAGCTTACTCTTCTGCACTGCTTGTTTCTGTAATAGCAGCCGATTTGTTAATTCGCAAAGCAAAGTCAAGATCTAGAACACCGAGATGAAATTTGATTTGTTCCTTCCAGTCAAAGAAAATTTGATCAATTAAAGATCGGAATAGATGAAGCTAACGAATGAAGCGAAACAGGAACTGACAGTGCAATATATACTATAATAACATCAATGCTTTGAGAGAAATACTTTCATTAGTACTATTGCGTTCAATCTTTGGATTTACTAAAGCAATATACTAGCATTTAAACTTTAATGGCAGTTTCCACTCACCTAGGCATAATTGATAACCTTTCAAATTTCAGTTGGTTTGTCACCTTTGGGCATACATTCCAATTTCACTATCGTTTTTATCAATTATCCTATTTAACTTTAATTTAATGATTATTTTAGGGGTGGAGAAAATGTCCGGACCAAACCAGAACCGAACCAAAGCAAGCGGTTCGATTCGGTTATACAAAAAAAATTAATAATTTTGGTTCTTCGAACAAAAAACCATTTGGTTATAGTTTTGGTTCGGTTCTAATTCTAGAACCAAGAACCAAACCGACAACTAAATTTAATTTATAATTTTATTTTTTGTATGAATTTGATTTTATATTAATTGATGCCAGTCC